ATATATATATATATATATATATATATATATATATATATATATATATATTAGGACATGATAGAGCTTTAACACGAACACTGTTAAATACTATTAAAAATTTTACATCAGCCCACGTCCTGTTAAAATTGTTCTAAACTGTCCCAAACAGTGGTACTAAATAATCATACAAAGTAACACAAAAACAGCACAACTAAAAAAACATTTAATTTCCTAAACCCTTTTTGTAAGAAAATAATGTTTTATGTTTAAATTAATTATCTTAAATAACTGATTAAATGAAAAAAGATCATAACTATTACACAATTATTCCGAAATAAAAATATATTTTAAGCTATGAAAAATGTCATTGCTCAATGGATCATCTCCAGTACGTTTTATTTCATTACTATCTCACGGGATGTATTGCAGTGTCCAGGTGAAAAACTAAATGTTGCTGAAAACAACGAGCGTGTATAACTTTAAAATAATGTTGATATGATTTTTCAGAGAAGCAAGCCATGTTTTTATGCTCTAACTGTAAAAGAAGAATAAAATACACTACATTCCATAAAGGTAGTATTTGATAGTTTTGGATTTCATAATGTCCTTTCTTAATACAAACACTAAATTTAATGTTTCATTGAAAGTTATTGAAAAATCATGTCATACATGTTGTGTATAGTAAAGTTAAAGACAAAGCCTATTTTTGCATCTAGATTATTTCAGAAACTGTCAGAAGATGCCAAATAACGATATATTGTCACATTGTATAACATTGCCAAAACTTAACGCTACTCCTAACTTTAAAACTGGAACAGAGCTACGGGTAGTGTCAGATTTCATGTGCTAGTATATATTGCATCCCAAAATATTTATATTTAACGTTAACATGGATTTAATTATTTGTTTCGGATAAGATACCCAAGAGGTAGAATTGTAGGAGCGAATTGCACGATAATCCCCTAACCCACGGTTATATATGCACATATCTATATATTCACATATTTTAGTCTGTGAAAACATCTTCTTGTAAAATGTGTCATGAAAGAAATGTTAATTTAACCCTCCTATATTGTAAATTACATTAAATAATTATATTACTTAATACCAAGTTAAAACGATCCATGATTTAAAAAAATATATTAAATTCTGTTTCACTAACATTTTACAAACTCATACCAAATATACCTTCTAATATCTCAAAAAAATGAAGTAAAAATTCTCTAACCACTAGTAAGTTTTCTTTTGGCTATGATTTAAAGTTTTTATATGTATTAGTACAAGTGCTTTAAGTAACTTACATTCGATTATGGTTTAGTGATTTATTTTCTCAAAAATATTAAAGTAATAAATCATTCTGTATTAGATCGTCAAGAAATTAATGTCTCGTTTTGGTACAGTTTCATTAACCACCCCCCAAAAAAACATCACGTATAATAGTTAAACAAACCACATAAACTTCACGTTAGTGTAGCCTATATAATGTGTAAAGTTTAGCATACTCTAATTCCTTATAGTGGTGGCACACGACGAGACACACATTCAGCATGTAATGATGTTTGAATACAAAAAGGAAAACAACGCCTCTGTAGCCACAAAGAATATCAAAGAAGTTTATGGAAATGTTTTTAACGTTCGTAAGTGTAAACGATGGCTCAGTAAATTTCGTTAAGGTGACTTTAGCCTTAAAAAACTGTGATGGCAGGGGCCGACATGTTGGAATTGATACTGATGCTCTGAAGACGGTTGTTGAGTCTAATCCAAGGCAACACACACTCGTGAAATGGCCCTGAAATTGCATGTCTCTCATGAAACATTACGTGAACATATAAGGAATATGGAAAAACTCCACAAACAAGTTGTTTGGGTGCCTCACGAACTCTCCGATGATCATCGTTTCCAACGTGTGAGCGTTGCCTCGTCTCTTCTGGCGCATAATGC